CACACCTGCACCCTGCCCACCCAAGCCCTGCACTGCTGCCACCCTCCTGGGCACGGGCTCTGCAGTGCTGCCAGGCCCAACCCTACGCTCTGCGCTCCGACCCAGCTGCAGCTCCCCCCCACCCCTGCCCCCACTCCTGCCACTTCCCTACTTGGTGCCCAGAACGAGCAGGATGCTGCAGAAGCCGAGCAGGTCCCCGGAGGCCCTGCACCCTGCCCACCCAAGCCCTGCACTGCTGCCACCCTCCTGGGCACGGGCTCTGCAGTGCTGCCAGGCCCAACCCTACGCTCTGCGCTCCGACCCAGCTGCAGCTCCCCCCCACCCCTGCCCCCACTCCTGCCACTTCCCTACTTGGTGCCCAGAACGAGCAGGATGCTGCAGAAGCCGAGCAGGTCCCCGGAGGCTGCAGCAGTGGCAGCAGCAACCCTGCCCAGAAGCTGTGCACTGGTCGGACCAGGCCCTTCCGTTCATGAGGATGGGAGTGAGGCCCAGTTGGGTATATTGGCACTCTAGGAGGTTTGCTTACCTTAGGAAAAACATGTTTTGCTCTTAATTTGGGTTAAGGATGTTGTTTAGCTTTAGCTGGACGGGCTGTATTAAGCTTTTATTCCCAAGATTGGAGACTTGTTCTGGTTTTCTCCTACAACCTGAAAATAATGCACTCCCTTCTTTTCACTCTTAGCAATATAAATACATGGGATGCCAGTGGCCTGATGTGGGGTGGGTGACTAGGGCATCAACCCCTGGTGCCCACTTTGAGGGGGCACAGAAATGGCACGTGCTACAGCCAGCCTAGCTCCTGTCATCACTCCTGCCCCCCAGTGCATAACCCTGGTGGTTTCATTGCTTTTGGACCACATTGTACACTCACTACCTCCCATTTGTTATAATCTCTCTTGCAGTTCTGCAAAGTGAGTATTGAGTCTTACTGGTTTGTTTTGGTCGAATTTTGCACCCATTTGTATGTAAGTGCCCACATATGGTGCAAGTACACATAGAATTGGGTCTGTAGGCTCTCATTCTGGCTTTGATGACAGTGATTCAAAGCTGTTGTGCTTTCACTGGTGTTAGTGTAATTACATTATAATGATATTAGGGGAACAGAGCAAAACTTAGGATCAAACTGTGCAATGCGTGGCAGGCGTGCAACTGCTGTTGTCTTTAGCAGAAGGATTTCAGAGAATGGCTTTAGTGGAAAATATATACGCGAATGTGAGTTGGACTGTAATTCTGTCTTACGTTGGAGTCAACTAAATTGCATTTTTCTTTGTCGTGTTTAGTTTTAATGTTAATTCACAGACACAAAGAAAAAGAAAAACAATGACGACATCCTAATAGGAGAATTGTTCAGATGCGCTTCTTTTGATGCATTGCAAATTGTCCTCTCGAACAGATCAGCTTGCTTTACCTGTGGGGAAGAAACAGCTGAACAGCTAGAAGGGAAATCTGCCAGTTCAGAAAATGTATTGTAACTAATCTAACTGAGACAACATTGTTTGTTTAGAACATTAGTTGGGTTTTGATGGTTTTAATCTGACTGAAGTCTTTATCAGACCGTTTGAAATAGTCTCTGACCCTCAGGACAATCGCTGAAACTTGCAGAGGCATAAGAATAGTTACTCTGTGTTGCTCACTGTATATATATCACTGCACAAGTAATTTCTCTCTCTTCATAGTATGCAGCAAAATCTTCAAGGCCTATGATAGAGACATAAGTGTGATAAGGCAGAACAGACCATTCCTTCATTGGGTAGCCCTACATTTTTCTTTCCAGAGAAGATAGGAGGAGGTTCTTTGGATCTTTTGAAGTAGGGTGACTTGACGTTTTCTCCTTGCAAAAATAATTTGGGAGCTGTGTTAACATTGTTACAGAGAGGTTGGTTTTCCCTCTTTGATGAAGTCTCTAACCAACTGTTGAAATGTGTTTATATCCAACAGATTTTAAATATTCATAGCATATGATTGAAATTCTGTTACGTTCCCAATTTATCACTATACACTATGACAATCTTAGACTTTCCAAGAGGACAGTAGGGAGGATATGTGACAATTCACTTTGAAGTGTTTTTTTAAAGCATTAAATGGCATTGCCCAACCATCTTTTGACAGAGTTTAGAGTGGAAATTTTTGGATTTTATTCTGGTACTGACTTCATCTGTAGCCTTGAGCAAGTAACTTAACCCCTGTGCTTCTCAGATCTGTAGCATGGAGCATATATGTGTGTGTGTGTGTGTATGTGTCTGTGTGTGTGTATATATATGTATATATAAAAAAATCTTGGAGGTATTTGGAAACCGACACGTTGATGTCTGTCAAGTACTATGACAGCCTCTGAGCCTCCACGTTGTATAAATGCAAAGAAACTAGATGATTTGATCAAAGGGTGTATGAGCAAAAGTAGCTTTGGGTACTGCCAAAGGGAGGAATATTATTAGTTTTGATCATTTATGTAGAGTCAGTCTATGTTAAGATCCTTCATGGGTGTTGGTTTTTCAGTACTCTTAATATAGATGGAAGAAAACTGGATGATAAAAGGGGTGATGTGGGTGGCTTTAATTTCTGTGAATAGCCTGAGATGTTCCATTTGTAGAGCCTTCTGGAAAGGATTGGCTTGACTATGGTCACTGATATAATAATGCCAGTGAGGTCATTGTCGACATTCCCTTGGTACAAGGATGACTGTCTTTTAGTACATAGGGAACTCATTGCTGAGTCTGTATAAGGACTGAGGTGGCTGATATGAGGTCTGCATGTATGACTGCAGATGTGGCAACTACTTCTGGGAGGGAGGAGCCAGATTAC